GATATTAAATTCCATGCAATTTATATGTGCCGGTGGCCAAGCAAAATGGGTGTCCTCCCTAGGTAATTTTGACATTCCGGACGCATCGGCGCGGTTTGTTTTGTCATCCGTGGTCGCTCGGACAACGTCGTCGACAATCAGGTCAAAAACAAGTCAAAATTCAAATTTCACAAAATTTCGACCCGCTATCAAACATTTCAAAAGGTTTATTTGAGTCTTCGACAGGTAACAGTGCAAGCGATGTGAATTGTGGCGATCAGACGTGTCGACTCTCCGAATTGCGAAGTTTGTGCGCGCGGGAGTGCGAATTGTGCAGAAGGCCACCCTAAGGCTTAAAAGGTCCTATAGGAATCCCTTTTGGGTTTCCTCATGTTGGTTTCATCCTTCTAAGTGCTAGAAGTTGATACCACACACCCGAAACTACAACAGAGTACAGAAGTGGGTTGAATTTTTAAAACGAGGCGGGTCCCATTTTTAAGGTTCTAAGATAGTCAAAGGGAGATCCCTAAGGCTAGATCCTAAATCCGAAGAGGAGGACTAGACCTCACCAAACATGAGGTCAACAGCAGCCCATAAGAACCAGCAAATAATACATGGAAGGGAACCAAATATAGGATCAGCCAATTTAGATCATAATTGTACAGCCATAATCAAGTTCTGAAAACCCCAGCAGGAAAATAGAGATCAAACAGATTAGCAACTTTGATCCAAATACCCTAGGCAATTTTGCAAGAAAAGAATAAGTGCTCAATAGATTCTTCCTCCACCTAACACAACTGACATTTAGAAGATAATCTAATGCCTTTTTACTTAAGGATGTCATCAGTAGGTATCAGTTTGTATCTTAATCTTCAATTGAACTGAGAAATGGAAGGTTTCTGAAAGGAATTCCACAACCATTTAACATAGATGCCAGAAATATGACCATTCAAGGAAGAGTAAATGATTTTAGATGTAGAGCGGTTAAGGAATTTTTTGATAACTAAAGAATCAGTAATTATTAACTCCAATAGGAATTTTGGCAATGGAATGGGCATCAGCAACATCCAGGACCTGAAAAAGGGCTGACATATGGCCAGTGTCTTTGTGCCAAAAATCAGCAACTTTCACATTAATATTCCAAGGACCACCATACAAATTAGCCAAAGATCCCTCATGGGTCCAATCATCATACCAAAAGCATAGATTTCCATCCCCAATCTCCCAGTTAAACAAAGTTTCTGCCTTAGCTCTATGCTTAAGCATCTCCTTCCAAGTGATGGAAACAGTAAGTTTAGTAGAAATTTCCCAAGGGTGTTAGCAGACATAAATTTGGCCCATAAAGAAACTGCTTTCCTGAATTTCATCCACAGCTTAATGAAATTAATGTCCATAAACTCATTGAGAGATCTGAAACCCAAACCACCCTGATTAACAGGTTTGCAAACTTTTTTCCAAGTGGTCCAGTAGATATTAGCTTCCTTACCATGCCACAAAAAATGGTGAAACATTTTTTCCTTCATTTTTATAGTATAGTGGAACAGGAATTGTATATATATATATATATATTATTACACAGCAGTGTATATAGAATTCATATCAGGTTAAAACTTTCTTGGCATTCGGTTGCAAGCATATGCCCAACCCTGTAAATTTGTTGGATCAATTTTTGCTCTGTTTCTCTCATGTGTGCGTGCAAATGTGCATGCACCCTCATGCAATGTGCAAGTATTCTTTTTAAAATAATAATTTTTTTTAACCATCTCTCTACTTGTGCATGACTTTTCATGCACATGGCTTTTTGTCTGCATTCATGTCACCTTGGGAATTTTTGGGTATCCATGGGTCATACATTTCAACATCGCTTTGGCCTTTCGTGGAAATGGTATTCCAGAACTTGCTAAGTAGTATTATGCTGTATTGTTCAGCCATGCACACGTATATGTTAATGCAGTGCAGGATAATAAAAAAATTCATTTAATATGTGAATTTATTTGGGGAGTTTAACATTATGTTTTCCTGACTTGAGATATTTTTGTGCACGTGGACTTTGTCCTCGAGTGTAAGCCCGCATGCCTAGTTTTTTTTTGCACTGTTTGCTCAAACACAATCGGAGCTTGCACATCTGAGTGCCTTATAGCTCATTATTATTTTTCTCCACAATGGGATAACTTGTAACCTTTACATTCATGTAACATACTTATGCTTAAATATCTATATATTTCATAACTATTATAATATTCAGATACTTATTATCATGGACATGGTAAATTAGTTGCACTACTTTATTTTTTATGGTATCATCTATTTCCTTGTGTAAACGTGATTCTTGCTTCTTCTTCTTCTTCTTAATGTTTTTTCTTAGTTGCATGACCTCATGCTCTTCCATGGTATATCCTACTCGTCATTTTATTTCTATTGCCACGCGGCAACTCTTTACACAACTCTTCATCTCTTTGAAACTTACCGGAAAAAAATGATGCAGGTTGGTTGAAGGAGTCGTTCGGTCAGTGAATAACCTCCTCGAGAAATTCCACCAATCTTTTTTTCTATACTTCCTAACAGCTCCTAATAAATTTGTCTCTGTTGGAGTCTACATGATTGCCTTCGCACTGTTTGTAGCTCCTCTTCCCATAGTGGTTGCTGCTCTCTTTTCCAGTACAGCAAGCACAAAACCTTCAACTACCACATCCAACACGAAGCCAACTAATTCCAAGCCATCTGGATCATGGAACTGGCTACATTCAGCAAAATTGGTCTTCCTTGTTCACCTATGGGCCCTCATCATCTCCTCACTTCCATACTTCATCTCCCAAATACCCCGCACTGACTCAACAAAGAGAATGCTTACCTGGTCTCTTTCCTCTCTTTTATTACTCTACCCGCTTACTCGTTTCACAAATTTGTTCGGCGAAGTTCACCGATGGGAAGTTCTGAAATCGGTAATGATTGCTGCTGCGTCAATTGGCCTAAGTCTCATGTCAATCATTAATTTCGCAACTGCTCAGGTTGGATCTATGCTTCTTGTTCCACTATGCCTTATGGTCCGGCCTCTGAAGAAACCAATGCAGGCATCTTTGTTTCTAAGTGTGTTGCTCAAATTTTTGAACATATTGCTTGCAGTGGTGGCATTCCCTCCAGCTTCACTGGCGATATTGAAAGCATTTCTTCATGGATTTGAGAGCATTAACATTGGCGATTTTTGGGAATGGGCTGAATTTCTATGGGCTTGGAGCAGTGCCACCTATTTATATGTAACTCTGGTTCATCTTCCCTGCTGGTATTTATGTGTGCATATTCTACTACATAATTGAAAACCAACTAAAATTTTAATTTGAGGGGGATCTACATGGGGCAACGATCTAGTAATCTGAAAGAAGCAAAGACTTTAATCACATATGAACAAAAGAAATTTGCAATTTGTTTAGCTCCTGCAATTTTATTGGATTCTTGGATGTCCAATTAACCAATTTAGAATGTCAAAGTCCCTGAGATAGTTGAAGGTATGTGTTTTATTTGTGCTTGTCATGCATATTTTATGTAGTTGTTAATTAGGGTGGATGAAATGAACCAGATCAATGATATGTGAATGTTGGATTCAAGTTTGCATATGGTATTTCATTCCTTCGATTGTTTCACTTATTTTATTTGGCGTAGCCTCTCGTGCCATGTATCACGAGTTGGCTTGAGAGTTTGGAATTACCAAATTGGAAATATTGATCTGTACGGAGTTTGTGTTACAACCATTAACTCTAATGGGGCGTCTGGCTGCAAGTAGGATTTAGTAAATCCGAAAATCATAAATCAATTAAATTTACTCTTCCTGTGGATTTAGTAAATCCATTTTTTAGCTGAATCAAAGATAAAATTTTGGCCTTTAAATTCGTCAATCCATAGAATTCTTGCATTTTTATGTTTGGTTGGATTTAATAAATCCGATGCTAAAATCATATTCAAAGGTGCTACCAAACACTCTCTAAATTCGATATCGGAATAGAAGTTTATAAACATTCTTAATTTATTAGGTTTTTTTTTTTCAACAAAAGAGCCACAAGTTTATTTACAACTAAAGATATTACAGCTCTAATAGAAAAAATATATAGCTCTCTTGTAGATCCACGTCTACCCTATAATTTTTCTTCCTCATTATAACTATAAATCGCCATAATTAAAAAGAAAAATAAATTTTATATAAATATATATATATATATATATA